GCGCCGATGGCGTTGCTTCTTCTTCGAGCCGCTTCGCTTCCCGTCTGCCGCGAGCACGCGCGGCGCCGCCCCACCAAGGCCCGAGGGGACCAGCGCGCCTCCCACGCCGGGGGCGTCCGAGGGGGGTCGGGAGCGGCCAAGGGGGAGGTGTCCAAGAGGGGGGGGTGCAAATCATGACCGGCGGCAGGTGCGCGGCCCAGCGGGGGGACCAGGAAGAAGAAAAGGCGCCATCAAATCTGGGGAGAGATCGTGGCCCCCGCCATGATGGCCACCCCCCCCTAGACTTAGCCAGGGCGTGTCCCCCTACAGGGGGAATTTCGGGTGGAAAATGATAAATACCTGAAACATGCCCCCAAATGGCCAAAAATAGTCAGAAAATTAAGCCCCCTGACTACTTGTTGACTGTTCCCCTTGCCTCTTCTTGGACTATTCTTGAGATATCCACCCCCCCCTAGTCATCACACCCTCTTGGCCACCCCCGAAGGGGGGTGGGGGTCGCGGATCGTGGCCCCGGGGCACGCGCGCGGCCCAGCGGGGGGGCCAGCGGGCGCAGTGGAGTGAGATAGGATTGGTCAAAAAACTACTCAACAAAAACAGTGAGATAGTGAGATGGTCAGAAAAATACTCAACATATACTCAGCAAATACTCAACTAACACTCAATAAACACTCAAGAAATACTCTACAAATAGTGAAATAGTGAAATACTCAACAAATACTCAAAAAATACTCAACAAAACATGCTCAACAAAAATAGTGAGATGGTCATAAAATCATCCCCAAATGATTTTCAAACTATCTTTAAAAATATTCCTCCTGTAGCGGGACAGGCCCGACTGAAGAGGGGGCCACGAATCCCAAAAGATATCATGGCCCCGGCCGCGACATCCGCCCCAGTCGTCCTCACCCCCCCCTTGGCCAAGGTCGGGCATGTCCCCCTACAGACAGATCTTGGGGGAAAAATAAAAAAGGCAAACAATACCCAAAACTGATCAAAAATAGTCGAAGAAACGTTCCTTGACTATGTTCTACTATTTTGGAATATTCCTCCTCTACAGGGACATACCCGACTAAAGAAGAAAAAAAGGGGGCCGTGAATTCCAAAGAATGTCATGGCCCCGGCCGTGACACCCCCCCCAGTCGTCCTCCCCCCCCCCTGGGCGCCCCCGACGATGGGCCGTGCTCCCTCAGCGGGCCGCCAAGGGCCCGAACGCAACTCGGATGCGCGCTCCCAGAGCAACGAGCTCTTCTGAGCAGCGGACCGAAGACCTCGTGGACGGCTTGCAGGACAACGCGGACAAGTTCCCTCACGCGCCCGCCTTTCCAAGCGTTTTCTTTATGTGAACCTCGCGGCAGCAGATGACTCCAGCGACCATGACCACATGAATCCAAATTAAAGACTGCTCAGACAGGCGTCAAGAACCACCACCGAGCAGCGAGGGGGTTCCAAAAGAGAAACTACGACCCCTCAAGTTGTGCTCCAACTGGAAGCCTTCTGGCTGGGAGCGCCCGAAGCGGAGTGGGCACACGGACAGGGGAAGGTAGGAGGAAGAGGGGGGGGGTGGAGGAGGAGGAGGAGGAGGAGGCGGAGGAGGAGGAGAAGGAGGAGCAGGAGTAGGAGAGGAGTTGGAGAGTTGGAGGAGGAGGAGGAGAGGAGGAGAGGAGAGTTGGAGGAGTTTGGGAGAGGAGAGGAGGACGAGGAGGAGGAGGAGGAGGAGGAGGAGGAGGAGGAGGGAAGGACCATCCATGGGGGGGTGGTGCTGCCTGCCTGCTGCCGAGAGCAGCTGGTGGCCGCCGCCGGGCCCCCCGTCTCCCCGCGGCTCTCGGGGCCCACCCTCTGGGCCTCCCGGGCCTCCCGAGGCCTCGCTCTCGGCCACACCCGGGGGGGGGGTTGCTGCGCCGACCGCGGCGCCTGCCCAGATTGTCCCTCCAGGCCCTCGCGGAGCCTTCTCGGACAACGATTTTGAGAGACGGGGGGGAGGAGGAGGAGGAGGAGGAGGAGGAGGAGGAGGAGGAGGAGGAGGAGGAGGAGGAGGAGGAGGAGGACGACGAGGAGGAGGAGGAGGAGGGCCTGGTCGGGGCGAAGCGCGGTCGAAGAGCGGAGCGCCGCCAAAACTCGCCCGGGGGAGCGGCGCCGTCAAAAGGCCCGGCCCCAGAGAGCAGGGGGCAGTGGCGCCAGAGCGCCAGAGGCGCAGTGAGCTCCTGATGCCCAAAAGCATGACAGGGAGCTTGCCTCCCAGATGGGGTTGAAGCAAAAGTAGCTGAAAATTCCAGGAGGGAGCCAGAGAGGACGAGGGGAAATCCAGGAAGAGGGGGGGAGGAGGGAGCGAAGGGGAGATGCGGGACGAGAGAATGGGCGCAGGAAGTGAGGAGGGGGGGAGAGTGGGTGCAAGCAAGCTAGATACGCTCGCGCCATGTTTGATACCCCTGCAGGCCGATCTTCTACCCTCCGACGGGTGCCATAGCGGACCTGATCCCCCCAAAGGATCTCATCGGGCCGT